GGGGGGGGGAGTGAGTAGGCTGAAATGTAGAGAGCATATTGCAAAAGGAGCCTGGGAAGTCCAGGTACTGACCGCCAACTTGCTAAACCACCTCAAAATCTGATATGAAAGAACCTAATAGGCTAGTTAGATGAGTAGCCAAAATTCACGCACGTAAAAATCATGTTGAAGTAACATGAAAAGAACAAAACCCACTAACAGCAAACCAAAACAAAATCCAATGAAAAAACAAAAGGGTAAAACACAAACCTAGTTGCATCCTAACGGGGAACAAAACCCAGGTGAGACACAAACCAAAACCAAAGCACAACCAATTGTCCCAAATAAAAAAGATTGTAATTCTCACCAAACAATAACATATCTCCCAATGTCAGGGGAGACCCAAAGCGAGAGCAAGAGGCTGGTGCATTAAATGCACAATGATGTTGTTGTCCTGGGCATTGTAAGAGCAGCTCCAACTTGAGTCCAGCCCAAAAGAGAAGCTAAGAGCTGAGCAAGGAAGAGAGTTTGAGCCAAATCCAAGCAGCACACCTGACCCAAAGCCATCAAAATGCGAAAAATTGATTGAAAAGAAAAGGCAGACGATCGCAGCTGTCTTCTAGAGGTGCAAGAGTCGTTAATGAGCAGGGGACAACTAACCCAGACTGATTTGTGCCAAGCTGAGCCGACCTCCATCAAGGCTAGTCAACATCACGTAAAGGATCATGCCAACTCCTTCGGTTACAACTAAACAATCAACAAAAGAAGATCACGCCAACAATCAGTCGATGCTCATTAACCTGCTGAGGAAATCAAGTCATAACATATAATCGGTCAAAAGCTAGAATTATGGAACACTCATTCTCATTTCTATAAATAGAAATAGACAACTTATATTTCTGTGTATAAATTCTGAAAGTGTAATAGATAAAATATTAAAAAAAAGATACATGTCCCATGTGTTTTCATCTATTCATCATTTTATTCATCAATAAAATAACTAAAATACCCAAAATCAATTGTTTCAGTGATAGTGAGATTATTTAGGAATTTTTATTTTTAATACACAATGCAATTACACATGTATAAATAATTTAATTCATATGAATTAGGAGTATTAGTGCCTTTTGGTTTTTTTAGTTATTGGTTTAATTAAGAGTTGTGCTGTAATTTAATATTAAAATAATATTTTTTAATTGAAAAAAATTGATAGTGTGTTCACATTATGCACGGGTGCTTGAAAGCTGTCGTGCGTTTTAGACAGTGTGTATGGCAATTCTCAGTGATAAAAAAAAAAAAAAAGCTCCTGCCGTATCATTTTATTCCTCATTATCTTCTTTTTCATAATTAATGGTAGGTATAGTCAATATAAATAGTTTATTATCGGTAACTCTTTTTTACCCTTTGTTTCTCTCTTCTACCATGAACAAAGTATTATAGTCATTATTATTATTATTGATATTTCAAATTTAATCTTTTATTTTAAATTTTAATATTTTTTTATTTTTTATTTTGTTAGAGTTTTATATATTTTCAATTTAATTTTTGGTTTCTAATTTGTGTATATAATATGTTTTGGTTTAGTATTCTACTTTGAATCTCACTCTTTTTTTTCTTTATCATTTTATCAATTTTTCAATTTTATTTTTCAAATCAAGTTTATAGATTTTTATTTTTTCAATTATAATAATAATAATTTCAATTTGATCCATATTTTTTGATTTCTTATTATTTTTTGTGGCTCTTTTGTCAAAGTTTTTATAATTTTCGATTCTATTTTTCAAACCAAGTTCAAGGTTTTTATTTTTTCAATAATAATAATAAAATAATTATGAAAATAGTTATAATAATAAGAATAACAACAACAGTAACAATGTAAAATAATAATAATAATAATAATAATAATTAAGTTAGTGGTGATGATAATAATAGTAGTGGTAATTGTAATAGTTTCATAGTAATAGCACCAATGATGATGATATTAATAATAATCATGATATTAATAATTGTGATAATAATAATGATCATAGTAATAATTTTGGTGATAATAATAGTAATAATGATAGTAATTTTAATAATAATAAAACAACACCAATAATAATAATAGTGGTGATATTATTTATTAATAATAATAGTAGTAATAATAATTTTGATCTTTGTTTTTTGAATTACTATTTTTTCAATTATTTTGTATGATTGAATTTTTTTTTTAACTTTTTTTAATATTTAATTTATTAAAAAATAAATTTTATAATTTTTTAATATTGGATCTTCAAATCAATGACTTCAATTATGAGTTTAAAAGTTAATAATTATTTTTTTATAAAAAACTTTATAATACTCTTTATATTTACATAACTTTAACTGTAAATTTAAGGTATTATATTCCATATTAATTTAATTTTAATTAGTATTGATATATACTTGTCATAAATAGTTTTTTTATATTTTTTTAGTTTTATTTTAATATCTAAATATTATCTTTTTATATATAAAAAAATCATTATCAGGACAAAACCCGAGCACCGAGGCTAGATTTGCAAGAACACCTAAAATTCTTCACGCTCTCTCGGTCTCTCCCCTTGTTTCAGTTTTGTAGATGTCCTGACACGTGCCATAATAAAAGGAGAAAGGGTCTCGTCTTTTCATTTCTGGAAAAGGTGAAATTGAATGGAATGAAGTAAGCCCAATAATTACAAGCATGACCTCAAAGGTCCATTGTTTGGTTGCAGAATGGTTCCAGTTCATGAGCTCAAAAAGGCTCAACAAAAAGTTTGTTAAAGTAGCCCATTACCCAAAGTTCAACTTACACCCGAGATAACACGAATCATGCCGCATTTTTGTTATTGTGATAGTTTTTATAATTATGATTTAAAAAAATTATTTTTAATTATGATTTATTTGATATTTATGTATATTTGATTAAAATATTTATGTATATTTAATTAAAATTGTGGTTGAAATTAAAATTAAAAAAATTAATTTAATATGTTTGATGATATATATTAATATTGATGGTTTTTAATTTAAATATTATATATTTAAATATTGTATTATATCATAAAATAAATAATACTTTATATAACAAAAATTATTGTTTCATTAAATTATTTACAATTCTATCAAGTATTCGTGGTTTTTTAAGCATACAATAAAATCAGGAAAATATCATCAGAAATAAAATTGGAATTACTATGAAATTCTGCAAATGCTACACTATCATGTGATCTCTTTCTAATTTTATATAGTGTTATTAAATAATATTAAATACTAGTTTTTTTGAATAAAATACAATTTAAAAAATAATAATTTTTTTTACTATTCACGTGAGTGGTGCAAGTGAATAAATTGCACTATTCACTTTTGTCTGTTAGGTAAATTAATTCACTCTACATTGTTCACTTAACAAAAGTGAACAATGCTGACAAAACTTGTGTAAAATGTTTCTCCTCAAACTGTGTTTCTATATATTTTTTTATGGGTATCATGTTTTAAAAACGCCAGTCAACACTTTAACCAAACATAATTTTTTGTGGTTTCTTCAAAACGCAACCTCTCCTGTATAGATAAACACATTCTTCAACTGCCCTATAAAGTTTCTTTTCTCTAAACAACTATGTTGTTGTCCCGAACAGATTTTATGAGTTTTTTATAGATAAATAAATTTAAATATTTATTAGATCAATTTTTTTAAATATAAATAATTTTATATAAATTTTTTAACATATAATTTGTTTGATTTCTTATTCACACAAACTAGTCATCACCACACTAAAAAAAAAGTATAATTTTTTAACTTTTCAATTTTTTCTAAGGGATTTCCATCTATTTATTACAAAATAAAAGAAACAAAAAGATAAATGAAATTCTATTTTTACCATTAAAAAAATATTTTATTGTTTCAATTTAAAAAACTTGATTTACATTGATTATATGATAAATATTCCATAGATATTAATTATATAATTAGATATCATACACTAATATTTACATTTTAATATTACAAAATTGCAATAGTTTTCTTACCACAAATTACTATCATTGTTATAGTAGCTCTGAATTATTTTATCAAAATAATTCATATTTAGATCAAATTTATTTACACTGTATATTAATCATTTTCATTCTATTTTTTTCATTTTTTTTTTCAAAAAATATTGTAAATATTATGAATTCTATCCCCTGATGAGTCAAAACTAATACGAGATAATGATGGAAATAGCCTAAAATAGCTAAGTATTTTAATAACTTAAAGAATCATGATGTTATTTTTATTTTTGCTTGTTTTTAAATATTTTTAGAGTTTTATAAAAATCCCAATAAGATACCATATAAGTTAGGAACGATTTATAAAACTTATTTATATGGTGTATAAATAGGAAAATAATTTAATTTTAGGAATTAATAATTATTTTAAGGAAATTCATTAATGGTAGTTTTTTTTTAGTTAGAGAATAGTCACTTTAAAGATTTTTAGCAATTGGTATTTTTACCAAGATTTTATATCAAATAAAAATAATTAATTGGTCAGACAATAATTCTTATTTTACAAGGTATGAAGCTTTTTGACTAGTATGAATTCTTCAACAATTATTTATCTTGGGTATTTTTTATTATTATTTGAGGCAAATGGTGAAAAAAATCTTAGATTATTGTTTTATTTATTGTTATTATTTTAAATCTTATTTTAACATGTTTGACTCATTAGTTTTAAAATTTACATATAAATACTTTTATGTAAAGTTCGTTATTTAGTTTATGAGATTTTCTCTGAAGTTGTCGCATATTATATACTTTGTTTTTTTTTTTTGTGGTTGAATGATTCCTATATCAAGTTCTTAATTGAATTTACATATTCTTCAAATGATAGATTAACTTCAATGTGATATGTATTTTTTGTTCGCATCTCGTTACAGACATAGAATGGGGGTAATTAATTGCATATAACTTTAGTTCTCTAAGATAAGGTTTTTATTGGATCAAGTTAGAAAACTTTTCTTCAAAACTCAAATTAGCAATTTAAGGGACATTTACGCATAAGTTTGGTATCAATGCAGGACTAATTTCAAGTTATATCTATTTAATTTTTATTGTTGCAAGTAATTCTAGGGTTTTATTTAGATCTTGCCATATGAAGGGTTTGTTTTTGTTTTTTTCCTGGTTTCTTTCTCTTTGGGGTCTTGACTAATAAAAAAAAGATTAATTCTGGATTAATTTTGGTTGTGTTTCATTTTAAAAGGAAAAAAAATAATCAATTTTTGATAGGAAAAAAATCTTGAAGTTGCTTAAAAACTACAAACAAAACAAATTATGGTCATCTTTCTTATTTAAGAAATCCGATACCTATTTTTTTAAAAAAATCAAAACTACAAACCTTGAAATGATTCATGGAGAAACAATTTGAAAATTTTAGATCTTATATGAACTAAGGTTTAGTTCAAACTTATATTGGAAACTCTTGGTGATCTTGATTAATTTTTTATTTAGGTAGAATAGAATTATCTTGCATCAATTTCTTTAGTTTCTTGATTTCTTAAGACATTTTCTTTATTTTCTTGAATTTCATACTTTTCGTTGTCTCTTAATAATAATTCTTGCTTTTATTTTATGTCTCGATTTTCATTGTTATATTCACATAAATTTATATTGCTACTCGTAAGTTTTTTCTCAAGTTTTATTTGAGCAGTTTGAATAATTGTTGATTCTTGAATCTTTAAACATAAAATAAATCACTATATAGTTTGGTTAATTGTTTGATAAATTACTAGATTACTTTTAAGAATCAAAGTATGAGAATAGAGTGGTAAAATGCATAACCAGTGGCGGAGCCACAATGGGGATTAAGGGGGTAATTGCCCCTTTAATTTTTTTTTAAAGATATTTTTTATATTAAAATTTTAATGTATTAACTTAACATGTTTAATTTTCTTTATTAACTTCTATTTAATCCGAGTTTTTTTATAATTATTGTCCTTGCCTCTCTTCCTTTTATAAAATTTCTCATCAAGTCCTAAACTATTAATTAGTTAAGTAAGTAGCCTTTTATACTTTATGCTTTATATTTTAGCTGAGTTTTCTTTATTTTTTCTATTTATTCCATTGTCTAATTTTAGTTTTATTCCTTAATAATTAGTTATTAAAAATGTTAGAGTTTATGATAATTTATGAATTTGTTAAATTAATATGTGGATGGATAATATTATATGCATATGAATATGAATTGAAATGAGTTTTGATGAATTAATATGTATTTTATTATGAATTTCACATGAAAATAATGATAATCAACTTGCTAATGATTAAAAATGAGGAACTGAACAACTCAAAAAATTAGGGACATAATAAAAAAATTAAAAAATATATATTAATATTCATATTTAATCCACTTGTATAAAACAATAAGTCAACAAAGAATTATTGCCAATAATTTCACTACTCCCTGAAAGATTTAGAAATAGATGAATGAAAGTTTAATTGTATATATTAAGAAAGAATATTTTTAATAAAATTAATAATAAAGTTATTATGAAGCAGTTTCAAAATATAAAAACTCGAAAACAATAATTATAATGTAAGTTTTTTTCATTTTAAAAATATTCTTAAATTAATTTTACTTGACATGAGTTAGTAAATGCATTTCAAATTGATTTCTTTATATATAACACATATCTATATAATATATAATATCAAGCATTTGTTAGTAATTTGCTTCCTTATTTAATTTTTTTTGGCTACGCTACTAGGCATAACAATATTATTAAAGTGAAAAATGTAATAAATTATGTGAAATAAGAGAGGAGTGAGTTTTATTGTGAGAATAAACAATATAAGGTTGTGAGTTTAAAGAGTAAAAATAATGTGATTCTTAAGGAAATAGTAAGAGAGGACAAAAAAGACTCTGATTCAGTTAATAAAGAAAAAAAGTCAATTGAAGCCAAGAGTAGAGAGAAGGAAATAAGGATGAGAAAAAAATAGTGTAGAAAATATAGGTAAACACTTAAGTTTCTATACAAATAAAAAAATGAGATCAGGAGTGCTTATTTTTTATATATATATCTATGATTTTATTTATATATAAGAAGATATATTTTAACAGTAATAATATTGATTCTTTTATTTCCAGTGTTGTTATATCTTTGTGACAAGAAGATGATATAGGACAATTAAGTTCGGATTTGAGCTTAATTTGTCTTATTGTGTAACTTTACACCAACAAACATAATTTTTTATCCAACTATTTAATCAAGCTGAAATTTTTTCAAAATCTTCAGATATATATATATATATATATATATATATATATATATATTTGTTAAAATTTCATGCCTATGATAGTTTGTTAAAGCTTTTTAATAAAGGTTCTAACTTGTTTTCAAGATTTTGTTATATATTTTCTAATGATATTTATAGTGGTTTGCCATTAATAAATGATGCAGTCAATAATAATATGATAAAGCATGGATATCTTATCCTTAGACTTGATATTTTTAATAAATCTTGTATGTTTAGTAAGATTGATTTAAAATTTGATGTTCAAATCAAGATGGAAAAAGGGATGGAGAGAAAAATAACTTTAAGATTAAATATGAATTGTTTAAATGGTTTGTCATATTGTTTAGTTTTACTATTATACATAGTAATTTAATGACATTGATGAATCATATATAGTGTGCATTTATATGTAGTTTTGGTTGATTACTTTGATGATATTAATAGTAAGAATTTAGGTAAGCATATTTTATGATTTTTGCTTAATATGTTACCAAAGAAATCTTATTAATATATATAGTTTATACATGTTTTGCAAACTTGTTGATATGCTCATGCAACTTGTTTAAAATCTTTAAATGAATTTATAAGGATTTAGTACATGCCTTGAATTTACCTTTCTAAGCTTTATATAATGTTTATATTTTACCTTGCTTAACTAGTACATTTTGTTTATTTAGTTGCTTTACAAACATATTATTTTGTTATTATTTTTTTACATATGAAGAGCCTAAATTTATTCATAAATATTTAACCTTTTTTTATATAGATTTAATCATATCTTCTACTCAAAATTTGATTACCCCAATCAATGTTGCTTTGGCTAGTATTATTTCAATAGTAGGATTCCATGACCACCATCTTTGGTGGTGCATAATAAGAAACCTATAAAGTTAAACAGGTTGAACTTCGAGAGGTGACAACAAAAGGTGTTCTATCTGATCACCTTGAACTTAGCAATTCTTGACTGAAAAAGCATCAAAGCTATTAGATGATGATTTTCATCCCACTACAGTTGTAGCTATGAATGCCTGGAATTATATTGATTTTGTGTATAAGAACTACATCTTGAATGGATTGGACAATACACTTTATAATGTCTATAGTTCAATAAAAAATGCAAGGACACCATGAAAAACTTTGAACAAAAATTACAAGGTTAAAGATGCTAGAATAAAGAAATTCATAGTTAATTTTTTTGGATTTCAAGATGTTGATTCAAAGAGAATGATAAGCCAAGTTAAAGAGTTTCAACTCATCTTGCATGATATACATGATGACGACATATCTTTAAACGATTCCTTTAAATGATTGCAATCATTGAAAAATTGCCATCATCTTGGAAAGAATTCAAGAACTACTTTAAGCATAAGCGTAAGGAAATAAGAGTTGAAGACCTTATTTTAAGGTTAAGGATAAGAGGGGATACAAGTTGTCAAAAAAAGTCAACTCTTCTAATTCCTTTAAAGAAAATATTGTGGTATAAGTTGCAAAGTCCTACAATTAAAATAAAAAGAAAATGCTTGTTATAAAAGACTAATAAATTGCCAAGATTTTTAATGGAAAATACTTTATTTACAATAAGAATGAGCATTTGGCCAATGATTACATAAATAAATGTCAGTAAGGGATTTAAAAAAGGATTACTCAAACCAATGTCATCAATGTTGATTACCTCATAAATAAACTTCTATAAATGAACTTATCTATTATTATTTTCAAAGTCTACATGATAAATAATCATAAGTAATCGTGGATTGACATTGATGTCATAAGATATGTATAAGCCGAGAAGATAATGTTTTCCACTAACAAATAAGTCGAAGGTTAAAAACCTATATATGAGAAACTCACCAACCTTTAAGTTACAAGGTGCGGGGAAGGTCATGTGAATTATATAAAAAGAATAATGCATCTTCTTTTTATTTGCTTAAGTCTTGTGATGTGTAGTTGACATATTAGATCATATGAATTATAATTCTATATGAAGGTTAACTAACCTCAAATTATTACTAAGTATAGTTTTTAATAAAAATCATAAATGTGAGATTTGGGTAGAATCTAAATTCATAAAAATTTCTTTAAAACAATTAAAAACATAGTTAACCTTTGGATTTATTTCATTCATACATCAATGATTTAAAATTTGTGCACATTAGAAGCATAAAAAAGTATTACATTATTTTTGTAGATGATTAAACATTACAAGAATGTAGTTGAAAATTAATATAATAAGAAAGGTGGAGAATATAAAATATTATTTGGTGAATTATGTTCATAAAATGGTATTATCCATTAAACTACTACTTCTTATTCACATAAAAAAAATAACATTGCGGAACAGGGATTGAACATTAAAAAAATAATGAATGTCATGTTAATAAGTTTATGAGCACCTCAGAACTTGTGGGCTAAGACAATTCTAACTGCTAGTTATGTATTTAATAAATTACCCTGACATGACCAAAAGATTGATGTCTTCTTCCAAGTGTAAGAGTGTCTAAGTCATAAATAACTCGACAAAACTAGGATCGAATCATAAGGAAGTTAACTATATAATAATAATAATAATAATAATGAGTTAAAGAGAATTTTCAGATGTGAGATTAATATGAGGATTAAAAAATGATGAAAACAAATGTCAAGGTTAGAGGATCCACTAATGGTATTTCAAATAAGTATAATATAAACACGTTTTATTACTTAATTGGAAACCACATACAAAGAAGGTTCTAATAAGATGGTTTATCATTAATAGCTCATTATAATTTATTAACATGATCAAATTAGTTATCTTATTTAAACAACATTAATATTTTTAAATATTGTCAAGAATTCATGATGTTAACTTATGTTAACAACAAATCAAATTTCTTTTATAACACAAGTATTGGTTATACCATACAATTACCTATAAAGGATCAAGTATTTATTATACCAAGTGTTATACAACACAAATCTTGATTAACCATTTAATAAGTAAGGTATTACTAATTAACAAGATAAAAATGATAAGACATGTTAATAGCAAACTTTCTTGGACGTAAGCATTGAAGTCCATATTGAGTTTATATTATACATATCCTAACACCATTAGTGAAACCTTTTCACTTTAAGATATTAAACTTAGCTAAATATTATGAAAAATAAAAGTATAAAGAAACACGATGAGAACATAATTATGTAAGTATAGTAAAGGAAATAAAAGACATAAATAAGATATTAATGAAACCATAACATGAAATAAAACTAGAATATTAAAACTACAAAGAAAAAAAGCAAGTAAAGAAATGATCTTGATCTGAAAATCAAGATGCCTAAATACATGAAAAATACCTTCTTTTATAGGCCAAAATTCATAATTATTAATTTGATGACTAATTATTGAGTGGATGGCCATCTCTTGACTTGATAACAATCCTTATCTTCTTCTCTGCCAAAAAGGTTATTATTAATAATATAATTTGAATAGATAGTCCTCATAAAAGTTCTGAGAAATTATATCAGCTTTCTAACAAAATAAAAATAAGGTTATTTGGTCATCTAAAGCTCAAGATATGGGCTGAACAGTGAATATTGTCTGGGCCGCAGGACAGATTCCAACTTTTCTTTTGTTATTATAATTTGAACTTGAAAATTATCCTTTTAAATCCTGGACTCTTCGTGAAAGTTTTAGGACTATATCTTAGCTTTCTATCCATATAAATCAGATCTAAATGAAGTTCTGCAACTCCAATTATGATTTAATAACCAAATGGTGTTCCAATTTGAATTCAAGTAGTATCTTTTTTCTAAGTTTTGTCATCTATTTATCTTCTCAATTTTAGTAGTTAAACTTATCAATCAATCCTTTGATTTATGTGATAGGCTGACATTTAAAATAAACATTTACCATAAATTAAAGGTATCTTATATTATCAAACTTATTATTATAAAACATGTTCTAGTTAAAGAGTCATTGATACTTCAAATGCAAAATGATGATATAAAACTTTGATAAAAATACACTTTTAAATGCTAATCATACCCCATAAAAATTTAGAAAAGATACCATATAAATTATAGAAAGGAAGAAAACTTTCCTACAAATACCTTAAAGTTCAATGGTGCAAAGGTAGCAGTATCTGATCCTAAAAAAATCAAGATAAGACCTATAATTATGAATCATGTATATGTTAGAAATGTTTATAGTAATAGTATGTATTGATTTCTCATATATAAGTCAAGTATTGAGAATATTCATCCTAATATGATAAAGGAATCAATGAAAGTTATATTCTTTAAAAATATATTTCTATTTAAAGAAGCGAAGAAAATCATTCACTTAAAAAAATGTGATACAATCATGACTATAAGAAATAATATTTTATGATTTAGGATGAACATCCTCAGACAACTAATTTAAATTTTAGGTTTAATAAAGTAATAAAATCAGTACA